CTCTGGTCCCCCATCTTAAAGATGGGAACCACCACCCCAGTCTGCAAGTGCAGAAGCACCACACCAGACCTCTAGGTGGTTCCCTAGGCTGTTCATGGCTCAGATACTGTTTGTATATGGTATATGTTGTAGCTCTGCCACTCCCAGTTGTCAGAGTCAGCTGTGAGATTTGCTAAGCAGCCTCAGTCATCAGAGAGATTTCTTGCCCTGCTGAGCAACCACAGTCCTCTGAGCACCAAGAGCACCCTGAGTGTGCTGAGCAGTCCCAGCCTCCACATCCTGAATCTTCAGTGTCCCGAGAATGCAGAGAGGCCAGAGATTTCCATGGGCCCTGCTGAGTCATGCCATCGCTGGTCATGCCACCAGAAGGTCTTTATTGCCATCATCATCATCATCAGTCTCCTGTAATCTTTGCCAACACCAACCTCCAGGCAAGTCGCTAGAGGGTCTAGCTTGCTGGTCTCTTGACCTGTCCATTGAGGTGCTGTGTCTATGTCACTGGCATCCTGGCTGGCCCCTAAAGTGTCCGGTTCCCTGTGCTTTCCCCATGACTAGGCTGAACCCTAGAACTGTGTTTTGGACTTTCTGGCCCCCCTGTTTTTCCTTCCTCATCCACCGAGAACAAGTCTGAGTTATTGCCGGCTATGCGGACCAAGCTCTTGCAACGGTTGTATTGTATATAAATGTAGGATCGTATCCCCCGTAGCAATGGGCCAGACACCGTATACTCCCAGAGCATCTCTCAGGGACACAGTCGAATTCCTCCAAGTCCACAAGACACATGTAAGATTGGTTGGGAAAACTCCTCGAGAGGATGAAGAGTTGGTCCATTGTTCCACGACCAGGACAAAAACTGCATTATTCCTCCTGTATCCGAGGTTTGACTAACAGACTGACTCTCCTTTCCAGCACCCTGGTATAGACTTTCCTAGGGAGGGAGGCTGAGGAGTGTGATCCCCCTGTAGTTGGAACACACCCTCCAGTCCCCTTTCTTAAAGATGGCAACCACCATCCCGGTCTGCCAATCCAGAGGTACTGCCCATGATCTCCACGCAACATTGCACACGTGTGTCAACCAGGACAGCCCTATAACATCCTGAGCCTTCAGGAACTCGGGGCGGACCTCAATCACCCCAGGGGCTCTGCCACCAAGCAGTTGTTTAACTGCCTCAGTGACCTCGCCCCCAGAGATTGGCAGGTCATCCATCGCGTCCCCAGACTCTTCCACCACAGAAGACATGCCAGTGGGATTAAGGAGGTCCTTGAAGTATTCCTTTCACCGCCCGACAATTTTCTCAGTCGAAGTCAGCAGTGCTTCACCTGCACTGTACACAGGGCAGGTAGAGCACCACTTTCCCCTCCTGAGATGCGTTCAGCTTGGCCTGGTACCTCTCAGCTGCCTCCGAAGTCCCACAGGCTAACCAAGCCCGATAGGACTCCTTCTTCAGCCCGGTGGCTCCCTTCACCTCTGGTGTCCACCATTTGGTTTGGGGGTTATCACCATGACAGGCACCAACCACCTCACCTCAGCTCAGTGCAGCAGCTTCTGCAATGAAGGTGCTGAACATGGTCCATTTGGACTCAATATCCCCAGTCTCCCTCAGAATGCTGTGGAAGCTCTGGTGGAGCTGTGCATTGAAGATCTTGTGGACCAGGGCCTCTGCAAGGCGTTCCCAGCGCACCCTCACTATACGTTTAGGTACCTCGGTCCCTCTCAACCTCACGCACAGACTCAGGCTCCTTCCCCACCAGAGAGGTGACATTCCATGTCC